AATTTTAGCAGAAGACTTGTGAATGGAGGGAAATTGATTATGAAAAACGATTGTCAAAATTCAGTGACAATCGAATCTCAAGTCCTGTTACGTGTGATCACTTGATGTACATCGCCATAATCAAATGTAGTTCATAACTCAATATACACAGGTAATGAGTTGATTTCATCAACTTCCACACCCTAAAGTTGGTAGACGATTGTAAATTCCAGTCCTATCTATCCGGTCAGTCTGTGTCCAGGAAGACAGGTTAGTGATGGAACTTAGAGCAATAGATGTCCGTATTTAGTAACAGAGACAGTACAGTTTCAGTAGTAAGAGTAAAGTAATGAAATACGAGTGATATGAATTTGCTTTATATTCTATTTCAGTAACTGGTCTTCAATTAGAAGTTCTCTTTTCGATATGTTTAAAAATTAAAGAAAAACAATGCATTGATGAATTATTTAACATTTGTACTGTATAACTGTTAAAAATAATACATATGTCTGTAACAACTGTTATTCATCATCTGCATCAATGACCATCATTTCCATCAAATTCTTGTTCCGTTTCTCTGATTCATTGAGAAAATGCCGAGATGGCCCTATGTTTTTATCTTAGACATAAATGTAGCTTCACTATACGTACATTTTATTGGGCTACGTATATTTTATTGGGTACAATTTTACAGATTTTGAGCATGTTCCTCCGATTAGTGCTTGCTGAAAACGATCTATTGGAATGTGCGAGCAATCCTCTAATCGCTCTGTTAAGGCGATTCTCTGGAATAGCTAGGGACAAATAGCTACTCGCATGTCAACTGGCATTGATGCTTATAATACTACACAAATTTTGTCTATTCCTTGTCTATCATTTTCATTGTTGACACATCTTTCTGTAATGAAGTTTTGATGTATCACAACGATTTACGTTTTTAGATTACAATCTGCTATACGATTTAAAGAAATCTCCTAGCTGAATAAACCAGATCAATAGGTTTAGATTTATTCAGTCAAAAAAACAGTACATACTGTATGTGACGTAGGGGGGGAGAAGATTATCTGCGCACGTTTTCTTGAGTTCCAGAATCTCTTCCCGTTATTTTAACTATAAATAGATGAAAGTGAGTAAAAATTGTAAAAGTTTAACATAAATAAATAAATAAATTTTAAAAATAATTTTTAAAATTCGTAAGATTAGCAAAAGTTTAAAATAGTCATTTTCGTTTCTTAGTTATAGAAAACTTATTTACACCGGTTCACGAATTAAGTATGATTTTTCTGCATTATTAACAAGATAACAACTCACCCTTACCTCTACTCTTCCCATTTCAAGCAAAAGCGCATAGTGAAGCTACATATACGCCCGGAAGCAAAATAAGGGGCCATCTCAGCATTTGCTCAATGGATCAGGGAATCTGGACAAAAACCTGATTGAGATGGGGTCATTGATCCGGACTACTACTCGTTGTTTTGACGACTCGTGGTTTTCACGACATTACTTCGAAATTGCAGAAGGGAGAAAAATACCGGGGCTTCTCACGACTGCCGAAATACAGATTGTTAATGTCAAACGCTAGTGGTATAAAAAAGTGGAAGAAACTTTTACTTTTGTTGAAAGATAATCATTACCACAACAAACTAATTCACTTCGGTAAATGATATACTGACTGGCCTTTTTAATTGTTATAAGCATTCTAGGTCTTTCAATAAAATAAAAATCAACAACTAAAGATTGCAAAGACAGCTTGAACACATTAAAAAAAATTTAACCTTAGGAAAAAATAAAACGTGAACTAAAATTCATACACTCCTCCCGGAGATATGATCCAACACAAATTGGCCATGAAAAACGAATTCATTTCGAAATGTCACATGCATAGTTTTCTTGATTGTTCGGAGAGAAAGAGCTTAGATTTAAAATAGTGGTGCTACAAAATGGCACAGACACCAAAATCGTAGCAGCTTGAGTAGATCCATATTGACAGGGGAATATCCATTTTGGAAAAAAATCTACTTTTGTATTATGCGCTAGTAGTGTTCACAGACGGACGGACGTTTAAAAAAGTCTTTTTGGTATTAGGGATCCCAAAACGTGTATTTCCATGGAAATTTTGAAATCTATTTGTCGCAGCATGACATAACTTTTCCTATAGGTGTACTATATACGGGAAAGTAACAATGACCCACAGAAAATTGTGTCGTGTTAAAATATTCACTGTCCTGTCTTGGTTTGGCAGGCAAACAAAATTAATTTGTCTGCGTCAGAACGTGATCTGCCAAACACAAGTGCACGGAGAGTTGACTAACAATCATGGGCAAATATCACATTGGCAACTTCATTAAATGAAATTTCCGACTTCATGTTCATTGTGGTGTTTCATCCCTCTACATGTTGTAGAAGTTTGTAATAATTATTCTAAAACATACTGTTAAGAAAAAACATTCTTAGCCACACTATTTGTTTCACATAATTTTCCGAAATTGTTTTTCTTTGGTGAGTGTGTGTGGGGGTGGGCGGGCTTTGGAAATTCATACATAAAAATGGGTTTTAGTAATATTGTATTAAAGTATAGTTGCTATCTTCGCAAAATAATAATACTTATACAAGTATTTATGTTGCCTGAAATCCAAGACTTCTGAGACGTTTAGTTATTTATATGCAAAACGAAAAATTGTTTTAGATTATTTTAATTTGCATTGCAGGGATGGAATACAAAACAATGAATGTTAATAGAACGTGTTAAAAATTGAATCTCATTGCATAATTCAGTTGAATATTTATTGCATGTTCACTACATGCTACAAATCAACGAAAACAATAATTAAAAAGTAATACGTTTACTAACATTTATTAATGATACCAGATAGTGAATTTGGAGGCACCCATTCGGCCGGGCCCTGCTGCAACCTGCCCTACCTTCCCCACCCGAAGGGCACCGCTGGGAAAGTAGTCTACTCCGACAGAGCAACAAGGTGGAAAACTACGGTGGAGATGAAGCAGCTCCCGGAAGGCCTTCTCATCTCCCGAGGCAGGTTAACGCACCGCGTGGGCGCGGAGCCGTGGGTACAATGCGCAGTAGGCAAATAACACAGCACGGCACGGCACGGCAAACGGCCCGTGGACGGCACGGCACGGCACGGCAGGCAGCGGCACGGCACGCGCACTTTGCAAAGCTAAGTGATGGTGGGCGGAGGGGGCAAGGAGGAGGGTGGGACGAGGGTGGAGCAGAAGCAATAAACGGTGAAGGGCGGGCGGGGCGTTGGCAGGAAGGGGGCCTGCTGGCGGGCTTGTTCCTGGCGAGACGGGGCGGGGGCGGCGGCCGGGGCGAGGCGGGGCGAGGGGGGGGGCGGGGCGCGGGCGAGGCGGGGGCGGGATGATACATGGGGTGGGGTGGGAAAGTGGCGATTGGGTGGATTGCGGGTCGTGGGAGGGCGGAGGGGAAGGGTAGCGGAGGTAGGGCTGGGAACGGTGGGGTGGTGGGGGTGGGAGACAGGGCAGGGCGGGGCGCAGGTGAGGGGAGAGTGGTTGGCGGGGGCAAAGACGGGGCAGGGGGGGGCGAGGGGCGAGGGGCGAGGGCGAGGGCGGGGCGAGGGCGAGGCGAGGCGAGGGCGAGGGGGCGAGGGCGAGGGCGAGGCGAGGGCGAGGCGAGGAGCAGGCGCGAGCGGCGAGGGCGAGGGCGAGGGCGAGGGCGAGGGCGAGGGAGACCGGCGACCGAGGAGGCAGGAGGGCTAGCGATAACCGCGGGCGGCCTGGGAGGGGAGGCTAAATCGGGGGCGGCAACATGCGGCTTCCCCTCACACTTCCAGTCGCACTCGCACGCGCAGGTGCCGCCGGAAGTCTAAGATTAATATTTCATGCGCATAAAAACGTAGCTCCGAATGAGATGCGAGGGAACATGGGTATTGTATTTTTATGAAAATACGAGCAACAAAATCATAGCGACTTTTTTCTGAATACCACTCGTTTAACTACCATGGAGATGGGGTAAGTACTAAGAACCCAAGTAAATTGTTGATACGGACAAACGCTACATTTTCCTATTTGAAATAGTTATTTTTTTGTTGGTAAAAATTATACATTTGTATAATTTTTTCCGCTATTGATTTGTATTGCAACAGATACTGCAAAAACGACTTTGTGTTTTACTTTTTGTTCGTTTGATGCATCACACATTTGCAGCGGTTGGTCACGCAAGTGAAGTATATTCCTCGCAACGTTGTCCAAACCCGTACCCTTTTTAGATTCGAATTGCTCTCTGATTTAACGAAACAGTTGACTATTGCAAACTGATTCCAACAGCTCTCATCACTCCTTTATTATTGTCCCGGTAATCACTGCATTCCCCTAATATTCCAGCAAACTTGCTACAGCCAGTTCATTCGCTCCGCGAGCGTCGCTCTCCTCTCATGAACCACGGTCGGCGCCAGCTCGTGGCGTGGAGCGTGTGATGCAAAGCGCCAACGGTAGAATAACACGGTGTTGGGGGCGCGCGAGTGAGTGAAGGTGGTCGGGGTGGAAGCAGGAAGGAGGCGCAACGGGCGGGGGAGCACGCGCGCGGGTGAGGGGAGCACGGACAACGATGAGACGCGTGGGAAGCTGCGCGGCGAGGATACGCGGAGGGGGACGCGGGACGGGAGACGTGCTATTTGATCCGGGGTGGTGGTGGAGCTGAGGGGTGGTGCATGTGGAAGGGGGACGGCGTGGGGGTAGCGTTGGGGGGGGGGGCGGCGTTGCAGCGAGGGCGATGGGAGTGGCAGTGGTGGGGCGGGAGGAGGGCGGTGGTAGCGGCGGTGGCGGCGACGATAGCAGCAGGGGGCGGCGGTGGCGGCGTGGGCGGCGCGTGGCGGCGTGGCGGCGGTGGCGGCGGCAAGCGCACGGTTGGTGGTATTACGCGGTGGATGGCATGGTGGCGGGGCTGCGGCGGCGGCGGTGGCCCGGTGGTGATGGAGGTTCCGGAGGGGTCGTCGGTGGCGGGGTGGTGGAGGCGGCCGCGGCGGCGGCGCGCGCGCGCTTACCTGGCATTCGTACGTGCCGTTGTCTCGCTTCTGCACATATTTGATGTGCAGCGTCCACTCGTCGCCGCCGGCTGAATGCACCACCTGGAAGCGCTCGTCGTTCGTGTAGGTGAACACGCCCGACGTCAAGATGTGCCAGTCACGCCGCCGGATCCACGACACCTGTCAACGGGAGAGCGTCATTTATTTCGCGGCACCGAACAATGTGTCCCTTGGCGGGATGAGTGCGGGAAATGGACTTGGCGAGTTACCCGGCGTGTGGGGCTCAATGGGCCCGCTTTTAACTTTAAAATTACATTCGGTTAATGGTTATAGGCTGGTCTAGCTGTAAATACGTCGTTATTTATTTCATTGTCGTATCTGTTTCACATCCAGCTAAAATAATCTAACTCCATTTAGTGGGTGTTTAAACACTTTTTTCAAAATAAACTCAATCATTAGATTAATGGAACCAAGATAACAAATAATCTTAGTCCACTGCATAATTGTGTAGAAAGCAATGTTCAGATAGTATGGAATTTATTTGTTTGTTAAATCCTTTACATTTTTTATATAATTGTATGACGGGGCAACGAGAAAGCAATATTTTTTTTAAACGTTCCAAATCACCTGTTTGTTCTGATTTTGGCGAAAAACAACAATTAAAGTCAAACGTTTCGGATGGTTCCCGATGTCAGAAAGTGTTGCTTCAGAAAATAGTTTTTTAATTTTTTTGTGATGAACCTAAGTTGCTATGCGTGTATTGGAGTATATATTGTATTTGTAAAAAATCTAAGAATACACTCAATACATTTATATACTTGATATTACAATTCAAACACGGTTGTCTGTGAGTCATTGCATTTACAACAAACTTTTTCCTTGCAATACAAAAATTGATTAAACGTCACGCGACATTAAGAAAATAAACCAATCAAAACTCACAAAGAAAGCGCAATATAATCCAAGAAACAGCTTTAATTGTTTTAGAGTTAAATCTCATACATTTAAAAAAAATGTAAAATATCAAAAGTTCTTGACTTTCCTACAACTACATTATTGAAGCTAGATATTTTGTACATTAACAAGCTGCATACAGTACCAAATATACTGTTGAAGAAAAGAACACAAAATAGTTTTCCAAAAATAAGAACGCATATACTTCAAAGACAGTAAATAAAACACTCTGTTTAACACTGGAATAAATGAACTATTTTAACAAAAACCTACAATATGTAAATAGCAAATATTTAATAATGGGGAGAAGAAGAAGAAGAAGCTTTGCTGACGCATGACGAAAGGTGCTCGATTGCGCTCACGCATTTGAGTATGAAAATCCAGCATGTTCGTGCAGTATGAGAATAGGTTGAATAATCAAAGACTTGTATTTTAGAGATAATCAAATATGTGCAAATGTTTTTGGATTTTTCCCAATTCCTAGATATTACCGAAACCATTAACATCTCTCATACTGTCGTAGGCTGCTTAGTTTTCTTTCACTTTCTGTGCAATTGCGAAATTGGTAATTTAAATTTTTTGAATTTTTTTCGAGACTAGCTATATAACGAAACCATTGTCCCCCGCACTTACCGGAGCCTTCATAGTTTGAACTCAATTTTTGCGAAAAAGGAAATTAATAATATGTATTTGTATTTTAGCATTTTTCTCAAAAGAAGTAGATTTCATAATTCTCTTTCAATTTTTGCCTGCATTGGAAATTAGCCATATAGAGAGATCTAATAAAACCCTACCATTAGACATTCCTCATTATTAGTAATTCAGATTACATTTATTCTCTACAATTAGATCTTCTAATGATATCTTAGAAATGTATTCTTTAAAAATAGGAAACACGTTAAGTTTTTTCATTTTATATTTTAATAATTCCGTGATAATAAACGATCTATTATTTTGTAAATATGCATTCAAGCTGATTTATTAAACGTAACCCATCACAATTGTCACTAAATTCATTTTCCAATACCTCTGAGGTTTTTTTGATAAAGAGACACGGAATCTGATTTGTCTAGACCTTGATTGGCATTAAAACTGACTATTAAAAAGTACATTTGCCGTCCGTAAATCACAGTAGGTAGTTTTGTCGCTACTTCATATGACGGAATCGAATAAACTCACTTGCGTCAACTAAACTCTCATCAACAAAACTGACTTGATGAATATAAAATTTGTTCTAGCAACTTTATTATTATTATTATTACTACTACTTTAGCCCTTTACAATGCCATTGAGGGTAAGGTCCTCCGATTGGCAGGTGGGTTACATGTGTACATTATCCATCTGTAATTTCGAAACACAACCTGAGAGGGCACCAGAGATTAGCCTAGATTATATCACTAAGATTTACAGATATTCTATTTTATTATATTTTCTTATTTTTAGATACTTTCTTTTTTATTATTTTAAAATATTAACACAGTTAATCATTGCACAAAGTTCAGCTAAGTCGTGAAATGTCCTGTGAATTTAATGTGTAATGAATGTAAATATTTTGTAATTTATCGCAATGAAACATATTTAAACTATTCTTGAAGAATGAAACAACATTCCCAGACTCTCACGGGAGGTATGTCATCTTCGCCTTCTAATCGTCTCGTAGGCGAATTCACTTGACATCCAATTCGTTGATGGACACTTTATGGTAAGCCCCGTATAATAGATTCGCATGCTCCCCAATGTATCGACCCCATCACACGCCTGTTGTCCAGTCTGCAAAGCTCACCAATCCTCTTACCGTGCCAGTGAGATGGCCCTCACACTTGTTTTCGCTGATTACCGGCGAATCGTGCGCGGTACTGCCACACGCTGCCATTTAATCGCATGTGACATTTAGCGCCCTTGCACGCCACACTACAGTAAACAGCGGTTTTCCTTTGTGCTAGATTCTGCGGATTGGGGGTTACCGCCAAGCCTATTGTAGTAGCATGAGCACGTGTTTCAGTCAGATCCACGAGGTGTGGCTTCGCCATTTGCGGTTGAAGATACTTGTTAGCAAATGTCAACAGGAAAGATTTTTTCAGAAAGTATTGAAAAAGTAAAAAAATAATTAAAATTAGTAGAAATTTTTAGATTAGAAAATTTCTGACTTTTGTCGCATCTTTTCTATTGTAATTTTAAAAGATCTTCCGTTTCAAGTGAAAACGAAATTTATACTGACATTAAAATTAATAAATATAATTCAGTTATATTGATTACAAATACATTGAATTATAATAGATATAAGAAATATTTGGATACTTATAATGGAAAGAAATTTAACTAATGAAAGTAGAATTAATGGTTGTTGACAGAAACAACGTTGATCCTCCAATCGGATATCTGAACACTCGAAACGATGTTTATATAGAACATATTATCACCTACAATATACATAATACTTGGAGTTTTTGCACCACGTAATATATCCTTCAGCATCTTCATTCCTTCGTCTCCCGTTATTCATACGCATGCACGCACACGCACGCACGCACGCACGCGCACACACACACACACACTTGCATTACACTACCACACATGTCGGGAGACCAATTGAGAGCTTAGAGCATGTCCCCGCTAGAGTGATGTTTCGCCGAGCGAGGTATCTGGAGGAGGAAACCATGCAAGTGTACATATAGGGTGGCACGGGAGCTGACATTCTAGCCGGGAGGGAATACCGACACCTCCAAAATTCTCACTCCGACTATTTGCAAGGGGCGTACCGAGTGTCGAAAAAGGTAGAAACGGCAAATAGATCCCAAGCAAATTTTTAATCTACAGAAGAAGAGTTCATATTAAAATCCTTTACGACCTTCAACCATGACCTAGACCGTCATTACGATGCTAAATGCACACTTCGACATGGTTGGCTTAGAAGATGCCATGGAGACGTCGACTGTCGTGAGTCGATAATTTAAAGTGTGCCTTTAAAAACGAAAATCTATTGCCAGTCATCACATAAAAGGCAGTGTTTGAATTCCCATTCCCAATACAAAAAGTTGGTAGTTCAAAGTGAAAATAGATTATTGTAGTTTACCTGTATACATTGCAGAAATATACATTGCAAATGACGATATTCTCAATTTCCAAAAATACAGACGAGCTAAACTGTTAAAGTTTTACAAACAATATGGCAATAGACCTGCTGTCAGGAAAGCAATGCCGCAGAGTCTTTTGCCATTATTCCAAATCGTTTGATTTTCATTTTATGAATGAGTACGACTCTCACTTTTCAACTCACTTGAGTGTCATTGTTCAGTTAGATCCTGCTGTAGAACTCTCGGCCTTGCTATACAGTGCAACTTGGTATCGAAAAAGAATAGGTGAGATAATTGCTGAATTGTCCAGAATCTTACTAGAATTGAAATCTTAAAGGGCTCTAATATGCTTTGAATCTCTTTGACCTTGATTTTTCGAGTACCCGTTACAATTAAATTAGCAGTAATATTCTCAGGTTGAGAAGAAAACCTGGCATGGTACGTCGACAGGAAGGAATTTTAAAATAAACTAATTGGAATGCATCAAATCAGACATCGCGCCCTCAATGCTATAAGTGTAAAAATAAGTTGAGTGATGAGTGCACATTTTTACCCCTCCTATGGGTGGGGTACCGGCCTTGGCGGTGCAACGGCTGGCAGAGACATCACGTGCGCAGAGCTGATTGCTGCGAATTCAAACGCCACGTAAAGCATGGGTGTTTTCACCAGTTGTGAGGTGGTGGGTTTCTTATTCTACTATTTACTCCATGTTTACCATTATTTAAATGATAATCATTAATCTCATCATCCATCAATCGCTAATCTTCCATTACCATTTCCACCATTACCTGCCCAGGGAGGCAAGCTTGAGATGCGTAAATCTTTCATAATAATCTTTTATTATTATTATTATTATTATTATTATTATTATTATTATTATTATTATTATTATTATCATTGTCTCCGTCAAAACGCATGAAGAGAGGAGGAGGTTTGCAAACAATATTACTCACTCAGCCTGGAATCAATCTCAACCAATCTTTTAACCACAAAAGTAAATTTAAAGAAGACATAAGACCAAATATTGAAAGGGGGAATGTGGTAGTGATACATTGACTTAATGGTACATTGTGAAGAATGACGAATCAACCACAACATTAAACAACAGTGTTGGAAAAGTGTGACGAACGAGTCAGAGAATAATTAGTGATTCCGGGCACGTCATCTACTTAGTTCATTCGACCAGTGTGTGTAGTGCATGATTTAGCGGGTAGGTGGAGGTACTCCTCACCCGCTAGAAGGCGAGATTCAGAACCGATCTAAATGCAGACCTATGTGTTTTCTTCTTCTGGTAAGTTCACCAGACTGACTGAGTTTCGCTCTGAGTCAGCATTGCCACGGTCTCTGCAATTCTGCTCGGGAGATCCTGGAGTTCGAGTTTCGATGGTGGCAAAAAAGTACATGCTGTTGATGGGTAATTAGTTTCTTTATGAAATCTGTTCTTCAGAATTACCCCTCGGAACTTCATGGATAAAAAAAAACATAAAAATATGCATCTAACCATTCTCTTAAAATTGGCAATATATGCACTTAAAATATTCAACACTTAAAACCAAGAATATGCGTTAAAAAAAATATAGTTAGCAACAGTGAACATTTATTTATAGAAATCTACATTTTACACTGTAGAACAATATGCGTACAATAAATATATATTTTCAAACTTTTGTAATAAACAAAAAATAATACGAGAGAGAACCAATAGCATTGTTGCAAGATACTGAAACATTGAGCGCAGTTCACTCAAATCATGCGCAGGAATGAAGTTACAGGAAGTAAATCGCAACAATGAAAACAATGCTATCAGAAGAATTGAAAATATTATGTTGGCATGGCATGGTATGGAAATAGTATTGGCATTGGCATGGCGTAATACAGTTTTCATTTGAAAGAGAAATACATTAAAATATCTTACTTTGACCCACTTCTACACAAAAACCTGTAATATATGTACTTAAATATGCCGCATCCATTAAATATGCAGTTGAAGAAAAACATCACAAAAATATGCAATTATGCAAAATTAAACGAGCTAGATTTGTTCGAGTATATTTACTTTCAATATGGGCAATCAGTAAAAATATGCATTTGCATCAAGTTCCGCGCTCTATTCATAATAAATTCTTGAATTACTGATATGTATTGACTAGCATTCCAGCGTGAAAAAAATATTTTCCTGGTTGGAACTACTTTTGCAAGTTCAGTAGTTTTAGAATATTACATTGCCGTATCAAGTAACGCCAGACAATATATGTTGTTTTTGTGTAGTATAGTGTATCGAATGTGAGTAGCCGTATAGTTAGTGCCGTATTTCCTCAATTATTATTTTTTTCTTGATTAATATTGGAAGTTTACGACGCGTAATTCACCTGTTTCCATTGTCATTTTGTTACAACTCATTTACTAATATTGTAGATTATAATTTATAATATTAAAAAATACTATTATAATTGAGTTTTGTTCAAGAAAAAAATTTGAAAGGAAAGAATTTTTATTGTGAGTGTTACGTACTGTCATATTCGTGCAATACTGAATTTTGTGGTAAATGAGAATGGGTACAATTTAAATCAT